GATAAATACCTCAACAATTAGTTCTTGGTTTTCTCCTACACCTTTTATTACATAGACCTTGGAGTTGTTGCTGGGCAGAGTAAATGCAGTTGATTGGGGCGACCCAGAAGTGACATCGTTCGCTGTAAATTGAACTGAAGTAAAAAACTGAATNGCCATCTCGTTTCATAAGACCCTCGTTTGTTTGGCTGAACATTGACCACATATAGTAATCAACACCATCTTCGATTGCATGAGGAGTTATGTAAGGAGGTAAGAAGTTCTAAAACACAATCACGAAGTACATTTCGTTTTCGTTTGATAATTGAATTGAATCTGAATGTATGATGCTGTATAAAACAAAAGTATGGTGTATTACCACAGATATTACTTTCAGATRTGTAGATTTTGAAAATGTCGTTTGTCATATAATTACTATTTGAGATGTTAGTTGAAGTACAAAATAAAAATATTGTCTGCTAATCGTTATTGGATCATTAATCTTTACTATAACTATTCTATTGGATTATGTTTTATCTCGATTTTCATTTAACATATTTACACCTAATTACGAAAACGTTGYCCTGAGATTTAAGGATTTAGGAAATTAAGAATACAYTAAAAGACAAAGCATGAYCACTGAAGCCGAACACATTCTTTTGTATTTTAATTAATTCCTAWATAGTTAAAGTTCTTGGACAACGTTTAATTAGGTGTATATTGTTACATGAGCTTTAACCTATCTCTATAGTATGATTTAAGAATTCAAAGATGAAAGTTTTGAACGATATGATCATTTACGAAAAGCACAAAAATTAGGCAATTTTCGAATAACCCCAAAATCAAGTATATAGGTAGAGGCAGGAGCCCATCTGGCAGACGTTAAGGCTATAAACAGTAAAATATATAAAAATGCAATGGTCCAACCGGTGAGAGAGGCTCAAGGTATACAAATTTCAYGATAATCTCATGTTAACGAACTTACTACAAGCCCAAAATACACCACCAAGTAATCGTTTGGTTGKAATTCATAGTCATTCTTGATAGGGACCATTGTATTACCATGAACCAAATGAAATTTGAAATCCRAGAATTTACTTTCTTCGGGTATGATGTCAGCAAATAACTGCATAAACGTTTGTTCGATGTCACAAAGTTTGGAACCTTTGGGTATCAYCAGAGRACGATATTGGCCGTCATTCTGGTATTTAATGTAAATCACATTGCTTGACTGTCTCTGACCTGCAAATTAAAACAGTTTACAATTTCATTGATTGTTGCCRTCTAGYAGTTCTAAAAATCCTTAAACATGTTTAAGGGCAATTACAGTCCCGGGGCTACTGTTAAACCTCCTTGATGTTGTACAAGATACGGGCTCCTGCAGGCTGTCCCACCCCGGGATGGGGGGGGACTCCTTCATATAAAAGGGCGGGGGCCCTCGTATCAGTGTTTTGGACCCGCTTAGGGTTATAATGACGAGACTTCCCACCAACAAAGTTTTGTGGTCCCTTTTAGGGTGTACGACGACCCTAAGCCGTCATCATATATTTGTATACGACAACGTCGTCATAAACTCAATACGAGCCAACGSCGTTTGATGCTTGTGCAAAAACACAAATAAAATCGGGAAACCAAAACAAAATAACCGTTTATTGATTGGTCCCTCTTAGGGGTGAAAATTCAGCACTGCCACGCCCATCATCTTACAATACAGGTCCCTTGTAGGGGTCATTTTCAGAATTTCAGACGAGGACCCCCGCCCTTTTTTAGAAGGCAGTCCCCCCGGGCCTTCCGAGGGTGTKAGGAAACTTGCAACTAAGTTTGAGGTTGGTATGGATGTGCCAGGTCAACCTTGAACCTATTTCACTCACTAATCAAATGAATATAGAAAGCCTTTGGCTTTGAAGTTCTTTATTCTCGTGACTGTTGCGCGGTTGTTGTTATTAGTCGGTAAAGCCATAGACGTCCAGCTCTAATTACCTCTTCGTCAATCTATGGATCTATCTAAATCTTTATCATGCAGCGTTTGGGAATTACACAGGAAGCACAAGAAATTAHCCACAATGCATTATTTTGATTTTCACATGGTCTTACACAGAAAACGACGAAGGAACGTTTTCTCTTTTTGGAGGTTTTTTCAAGGTATACTATTTAATTCATCATAAAAGTGAAGAAGGTAGCTTTCGCTTCATCGAAAGCCCTAGACAAGATGGTGCCATATATCTGTTGTTTTGGTGACCTTTTCATATCTTAAATATAAAAATCAGCCAAAGATCTTCCCTAAACTAACAAGTGATACAACCAAACCTAAATTTCCGATAACCCTTGGTGAACCCTTGTTCCACTGGTCCTATTTTTTCAAACTCAACATCTAGTATCATGGTTTCCCCTGCCTGTCAACTATGCAATATAGAGTGAGCTACATATCTATGGCAATGAACATGTTATTATTTCTCTTTTTTCCAGTATGCACAACACTAGCAGGGGCGGATCCAGAGAGGGGAACTGGGGGTACTTGTCATCCCCCCTACGGGCCTCACAAACGAATGGAGATTTGTCATACTAGCCTGCGTGGCAGTCCTATTTAAGGCGACTGTACTGTTGAGGCCCGAGCGAAGACAGGGGAGGACGAAAAAAAGAAATTAAACCTTCCTAAAATCCAATGTCTTATCTAGCTGATTATTTTTTGATTAATTAGTCCACGAAGTTGAGTGGACTGTGACTTATATCGGTTTTCACGAGACCGAATGGTCTAATTGTTTTATCATGTTTTTCCGCTTTTCATCGAGGCATAGGGTAAAATATGGACTGGACCTTTGGACCCTTGGGGACTCTTGGACCATGCAAACTTTGGTCACAAAATTGATTTTTTATTACACGCAAAAAACTAAACATCGTCGCTAACAATTACCATTTATAACTCTGATCTGACATAAATTGATACTATTTACAAATCATTTTACCTTCTAAAMGTCAGGCAGTCTAATTTTTTCTTATAAAATCGTTGGAACAACCGTAATTTCAATTAATACAACAAGGGAAATGCAATAAAGACTGAATAATACTGTTCGACAAGTTTTAAACACAAGCACGGCATTTTGAGATTTTTCGACTGCCTGACGTTTAGTCCCAGAACTAAACTYTACTTTTTTTGTGAAAAGTCGTCGGAACAACTGTAATTTCAATTAATTGATAGCACAAGAGAAATGGAATAAAGACCGAAATACGGGTTTATTCAAAAGTTAGCAGGAGGAGGGGAGGTGGAAATTGAAAAGTGGGTA